CGGCCCGCACCTGCCCCGCGCTGCGCGCACCGGCCGCACGGGGCACGGCGGGCACGGSGGGAACCGGCACCCCGGCAGGACCMGGCACAGCGGCGCCGGGAGCACCGGGCACGGGGCCCTCGGCAGCGCCGGCAAAGCGAAGCTGCGAGCCCATCTGGGAGGTGAAGTGAAGCCGGGGGCACTGGGCACTGGGCACAGGTAGGTAGGAGGTAGATTCTAGGTACGGGAATCGCAGGAGCACCAGGCACAGGGAAGGAGGGAACATCTGGGAACGGGGAGTATCTGGTTATTGGAGTCCTGGGATCACCTGGCACTGGGACACTGGGAACATCTGAGCACGGGTGTCCCGGGAGAACTGGCAACAGGGGAATAGGCAGCACTGGGCACAAGGGAGCGGGAAGCACATCTGGATATGGGCTCTTTCCTTCAAGTGGGACAGACGCGGATGTGATACTCTACATCAGATTGCCTCATTTTACATTTTGCAGCGCCTCCCGTCAGCTCCTGCCTACACAGCCATCGCAGGTGTGTCACTGGGATTACTGGGCAGTTACTGGTTCAGAGGGCAGCAGGACCTGGCAGAAGAGTGTTTGTGCAGKCTGAGTTGTATTGCACGGAGGAGAAAATTCACATTGACACAAAGCAAAGACAAAAAAATAGAGTTTGTCTCCTTGATCTTGGAAAACACCCATAAATTCCTGGAAACCTCAGCCTCAAACCTGCTCCTGTGCCTTCTGCCTGCAGCACTGGCTGCAGACACTCCTGACTGCTGTCGAAATAATGTCCCTTTGTGCCCGGGGAACCATGCAGCCAAACCTTGTGTGGCCAAAGAAAGAAAAGAAAAAGAGTTTGAACTTCTGGCTGCTTTGCCTCAAAGCTCCTTTCTGCGGGAATGCAGCCACCCACAGTGACAACAAATGGGCGCTTTGTGGCATCTGTGGGGCTTCTGGCGGCCGCAAATGCAAAACTGGCTGCCCGGCTGCTTTGTCACTGTGGCAAAAGGTGTTCCGTTTCCCCCAGCCTGGTCCAGGAAGCTTTATTAATTAATTAATTAATTWATTTATTTATCTATGTATTTATTCTGTTTGCCTTTCAGCCCCGGTACTGATGAAGAGGCTGGAATGTGCCTTCCTCAAATGCTGGCTTTTCCCATGTATTCCCGCAACAAACATCCTACAGCTGGGAAATTGTGGCTGCCTGAACTCTGGTTGTGCTGGGGCTGCTCACCCTCCTCCTCCTYGCTGGAGAAGGCTCGAACTCCGCTGGGACCCTAGGGGCCTCCTTTTCCACGTTTGGACGTTTCTCCCACTGGATGGCAGCATTAGAGCAAATAAACCTCCCTGCAGAGGCTGGTGGGGATCTTGGAGCTCAGCTGGGTCCTGCTGGAGAGGAGACCTTCCTCCRGGGAGCCTTCTCCTCCTCCCCTTGTTGTCCTGCTCCAGGGGAGCTGAGGCCATGCGGGCTCAGCTCWTTTGTGTTTATACTGGTCCTATTACCGACTCTTTGCTCTCCTCCGTGTTCATTTTCCCGTGATCAGACCCGGCTCCCAAGACTGAGGTGCCACATGACATCCTTCTCCTGCCCCTCTCCTGCCTGACACCCTTGGGTCCCAGCGAAACTAGGCCTTCTTAGCAAGGGACATCTCCAGTCCCCAGTAGCCCCCACTCCGATGCGCAGGGTCCAGACTGCTCAGTATCCAAGTCACAGACCCTGGGGACTGAACGTTGTTGCTTTACCAAAAAAAAAAAAAAGTCATATTTTAGTTTTACGAACCATTTCTGGGAAAATTTAGGAACCGTTTCTGTTAAATCAGGAATACCAGGGTGATATCAAATATGTTAAAAGCAAWCTTTTTGATTCAAACTTGCTCTCTGCAAGCACTGGAAGGACCCACTTGGCGAGCGCTGGCCCCAGACGCCGTCAGGAGGTGCGAAGAGGTCTCAGCTTACAGGCCATGGGCTGCGCTGGCACCGCTGCGCGCGGAGGAGCACCCATAGATGGAAAGGGTCGAGCTGCGCGGCCCGGGCTCAGGTGTAACGCGGGATCTGCCCCGAGCCCTCCCGTCCTGCGCCACTGACTCATTTGGGGTTAAAAACCCTCTGAAAGGTAAATGCCGTCCAGCTCGGCCCTTGTGAGCTCCAGGGGTTGATATCCCATGCAAAGCGTGCAAGGCATTTCCAGGCTGGATGCACCCGGGTTTGCCCACCCAGGTGTTTCCCTACACTTTCTCTGCCCAGTTCAAAGCACTTCCCCCTTCTTTGCCTTTTGCTCAGRTCCACGGTAGGAATTAGCCCTTGGCTGACTCTGGGGAACTCAYGGACTCATCCATGTGGATGGAGGCAGTTGGATCCAACCTCCTTCATACGCTGTTTAAGGATCTTATGGCTCCCCGCTCTGCAGCTCTGTGATTGAGCTGAGCTGTGCCCTGCACTGGGGATGTTGGGGACGATGGGACAGGGGCTGAGCTCAGGTGGTGACAGTGGCTCCCGCAGTGCCAGGGCCACAGCCCAGGGACGTGTCCCAGCACTGGGCACAGGGTGAGCTGCAGGGCGATGCCGGAGCGGGCTGAGGTGGCTGGCAGGGAGCCTCATCCTGAAAAATAAAAGGAGGAAATCCAGGATTTTCCAAGCTGGGCTGAGCCATCAGCGAAGGGGCTGGCAGTGACAACGGGGGCAGCACCCGAGCCTGCTGGGGAAGGGAAACCCGAGGGGGATCGTGGCTCCTCTGCCCTCCRGGGTGGGCACCGCACGGGGGTCCCCATCCCCGCACGGGCAGAGAGCCCCTGGCCCGGCTGCATCTCCCTCCAGGGTGGGAGCTGTGCTTGCAGTGCAGCGTCACCCCCATGCGGACAGGAACAGGAGGAGCCTCCTCTTCCTCACCAGGCTTGCAGGGCTGCAGACCCCAAACGCAGCCGAGCTTCCCCCCGAGGAGCCCTGCAAGTTTTGCTAATCTCGAAATATTGTTGGCATCCGGAGCAGTGATTTACGGCGTGTTTTGCCACGGCAAGTACTTTCTGAAAGGCCATGCTAAGTTTACACCGGAGCTGCCGGGATCAGATAACGGGCTGCCGGTGGCTCCCTCCGTCCCTGCTGTGCTGGCCTGGGAGAGGACGTTGGCTTCCCTGCCAGCAAGAGATGACTGCAGTGGGGAGCAGCAGCAAAAAAGGGAGCCCCGAGGGTGTTTTGCATCAGTGACAGGGTGGGATGCAGGGCATGACGCTGGTATTTCCCTGCTCAAGACATGCTGCTGGTGCACGGCCCGTGTCCATCTCCCCTGGGGATTTGCATGCTCTGATGTGAAGCTGGGGTCTCACCTTCCAGGCTGGGCGAGAGCCCGGTGTGTTGCTTTGCCTTCCCGGCACGTTGTGGCCCTGCAGGATCGCTGCAGGGGTTTGGCAGGTGCCAGGGAGGAATGAACCCTCTGTCGGGATCCTGGGGCTTTCGTGGCCCGTGGAAAGGGTTGGATTCCTCCATGCTTTGGGTCTGTTGTGGAGAAGGCAGCGGGGATGGCCTGTCCGTCTTGGGGATGGTATCATCCCCAAGCCTGGCCCTATGTTTAGAAGGTTTCACGTCAAACTTGGGTGAGAAAAGCCCACTTTTGGTGTCCTCATGATGCCCTCTTGTGGCAGCAGGGAAGCGTGCACTTGGCACACAGCCTGGCACATCCCAAATTGTGGGAGTTCCTGTGTAACCAGGACATGGAGCAAGTCCTAGGTATTTGGGATAAGGACCTGTTGACCCACTTCTGGCCTGGAGTGCGAGGAAAGCCCTGGCTGATGAGGCTGAGCAGGAATTGCCTTCCCTCCTGCATCCAAAGGAAAGTGAGAGGGGTGAGTCTGGGAGGCCAATCTGCCCCTGGCCACCACTAGTCACTGTCCTAGTCCCTAAACACCTCAGATCAACCCTGCCCAGGCTGGGCACAACCAAAGGCRGTGGGGTCAAGCTGCATCCAGCATCTCTGGAGCAGGACACTTGCTTTTCCTACAAGCTTCTTGCTGTGTGAAGCCCATCACAAGATTGCTGCATGTCCTCAGACCCCTTGATGGTCCAGGCTTCCCTCCTGCCTTTCCAAATCTTGCTCCGTTCTGGCCAAAGAGGCCACTAGCTGCTCCAGCTCAGCTGTGTCTGGGATGGACCGTGGCGGGGGCCTAGCAGGTGCTCTGCATTGGACATTAGGAGCAGGTGGAGGAGGTCAGAAGGCAAAGAAGAAGGAGAACATGGAGAAAGAGGAGATKGGAATGAGCCAGGTGAGGGAAATTAGGGGGAATTCCCCCTTTTTCAGGAGAGAGGGGAAATTAGGGATGTGAGAAAACTGTGGAGGAATGGAGGAAATGCCAGCTTATGCTGCAGGAGCCATCCTAGGCACCTGGCAGAGGTGGTACCTTGGAGACGTCCCAAACTGGACCAAACACCTTGTTGCCTGGCCGTGTTTCCTAGACCGGAAAAGGAGAACTTAAGGCAACGTTAGCTTAAAGCTAATCTCCCAGAGCAGCAGTGCTAACGGCGGCAGCTTTGGGAGAGGGACGGAGCCGTGAGGAGCGGGATCCGTGGCACGGCTCGGCCCCTGGAGACCTTGCCCGGCGTCATYGCTTCCCACACGAACACGTCCTTGTGGGAGCGAGGCGGTGGCAGTGGGGCGCCCTGGTGATCACGGGTGTCCCCCTCCACCCTGACTGTTAATGGGTGATTTCTGCTTGTTGACACCAATGATACGCCGTCTTGGAGCTGGGCTGTGTCCTCCACCCCGGTAAGGCACCAAGCACATCACTTGTGCTAGGGACCTGGTGGTGGGACACTGGTGGTGGCCATCTAAGTGTCAGCACCGCCTGTTTGGGGTGAAATACCTCATTTTACAGCCTGTGCTTCCATTCGTTCCTCTGCAAAATGGGAACTTCACAGGAATGAAGTGTTTCTGGTATATATCCAAAGCCATTTGGTAAGTCCAGTGCTGGAAAAAAAACAAACCTAGAAGACTAGACAGCCCAAGCAGTACTTTAATGTTCAGCCCCTCAGCTGTCCATGCAAATGACTAGTACAGCTCATGGGATTTATTCTTAGTCTTGTTCGCTCATCATTGTTTCAGGCATGGGAGAAATCTCATTGGGGGCACTTCTTCTTTCCTTCATCGGGCTATTTTTACTTTGCCCTGACGGAGGGTCTTTAAGCGAGACGCACTTCTCTCATCTGTCATTGCTGAAGTGACTCTGCAGGAGTGCAGGTCATTCGAGAGACTGCAGCTCTGCCCTCCCTGTCATCCTCTGAGGGCTTTCATCCATGGTGGAGAAATGAATCTCACGTTCCATGGAGAAGCAAACATCACACCGTCAGGGTACCCCCTGTGAAGCACTTCGGGCTTGGGCAGCTTGCCATGGATGGGTGTTGGGATGYGTGACGGGGAGCGTAGTGTTTCTGTGTCTGAGTTTATTCAACAAACGGTGGTTTCGCTGGCGAGGTGTGAATAAACGAGATGCCAGGATACTACAGTAACCTGGCCCAGATAGGTCTTGATGATAAACCACGTTGAGTCATTTGTTCTTAACCTATGAGTCACTCTGTGAGTCAACAGAGAAAACAGCACCTAAACATCATCAGTCAGGTTGAAAACCTGAGCTCTGTTCAAATCAAAAACATCAAGTACGGTAATTGCCTTGATGTTCCCTTCCAGAGAAAGTGTTTAATTTTCAACTGTACTCACCTGAATTGAAACAGGAGAGAAATCGGAGTTTGTATTTCCTTATGAGCTGAAGTGTCAGTGACTGAAACTATTGATTTCCTTCTGAGGTCTTTAAATTGCTTTTCTAGCATGAGATCAAAAGATCTATTTTTACAAAGCAGGTTGGACTGTATGATCGCTCTCAAAACAAATGCAGGGAAGACTTGTGAAAGGAGTTTATGCTGCTGTGGGAGTCAGGYGATCACCCAAGAGTTGACTGAAAAAAGCATTAAAACAGGCATCAAGGGAATGCTGAAGTCTCCCATGAAAAATGTTGTCTTTTTTTTATCTTAAAGTCCCCCTAGAGATGTCAGTTGTCTGACAACCCTATGGCCAGTAATATGGCCGAAACTTGGTCTTGATGGAGGTTTGGTTTACCTCCCTCCAGATCAAGGAGATGACAAGATCATCCAAGACAGGCTGAAATCCTTGTATGTCAAGACATGGAGAAGATAGAGTTCCCCCTTCCTTCCCCTCCTGGTCCCAGACTCTCCAGGAGCCAAAGATATCCCAGAGATGTGCTTGGATGGAGGAGGACAGAGAGATGATCTCTTCCAGCCCTTCATTGCTGTTGCTTGGCGAAGCAAGACTGTCTTCCCTCTTCGTTGGAGCAGCTGCAGAACATGTTCTGGATTGTGATCCACTTGGCAATTTTGAGCTGCTTCTAGCTGCTCCACGGTCTGGGGAGGAACTGCTAGCATCTGCCCATGGCCACGCAAAAATCATGGGATCCCTTTTTCTCTCCTCCTTCTCCAGGGGATGTGGCTGTCTGGAACCCCAAAGGTATTTGGGGAAAGAGAAGCCTTTTATGGTCGTATTCCTCCCTGCGAACAGAAGCAATTAGGCAACATTTGTGTTATTACAAGGTTTTGAAGGGAAAAATGCCCTTTCCTGAGACACTGATACCTTCTCTTGGTGTCTTTGCTCTGTCCTGCTGCCAGCTGCAGTCACTAAAATAACCACGGGAAGAAAACTCCGTCCGTGGACCAGGAGGGCAGTGGTGCCAGGCTGTAGCCTCCYGGCCACCCCTGGCCTCTGAGAGGCAAGCGGGGCGGCAGGAGGGTGYGCACGCAAGTTACTTGATCTGCCTGTGACTCGTGAGGCTGGTGGCTACGGTGAACTTATCTCTCAGCTTACGGAGGTGCTGGGCTAGCTGAGAGCGCGGGCCTCCYTCGCGCTGCTCCAGGGAACGGCAGGCACCTCCTTGACATGTCCTCTTATGGCATCTGTGTAGAGCATGGGGTGCAGAGGTCTCCACGTTCAAACACCGTGCTTGACTATCCCCATCTTCACAACCAAGCGCTGAGCTGGGAGCCCCCGGCCTGACTTCAGCCCCCAGACGACACACTGCTGAGCCAAATCATCTGCAGAGCTGCCTTGGTGTCTTCTCCCCATCCCTTCTTCTAACCAGGCCCGCTCCCAGTGTAGGGGTCCTCCACTTGAGATGTGGCTATTGGAGGGCTATTGTGCCTCTTCTTGGGATGCTGACATCCTATTTAACACTAACCTTAACATAAATGTTTCTTCTTCTTCCCGCCCTCTTCTTGGATTGCCACAACTTTCCCCACTTCAAAAACCCACTCCCTTGTTAGCAAAGCTCGATCCTTTGAACCTGTCGGAGCACAAAGCTTCTTTCATAATCCTTCAATCTCAGAGATAACTGCTTCACCTTGATGCAATTGTTTGGAGGTGTTTTCTGGGGGCCACAAAGCAATGAGCCCTTGGAGCAAAGCCCAAGGATTTGCGTTACTCTTCCATGGCAGCATCACTGGAAGCAGGCATCTAACTGGGGAAAAGGAGAAAACACTCTGTGAACCTGAATTGGAGCAAGGTTGAGGAGTTGGACCATAGTTTACAGACAYGTTTTTTTGTAGTATCCCATGTACAGCATGATCAAAGAGTGTGGACAAGTGGAGTCTGAGGAGGCAGGTATCCTCTAATGCTATGGGGCCTTCCCTGGGCCAGGGTAGGACAACTGGGGTGAATCTGAGCTTGGGGGCTAGCAGAAGAGTGGATGGACATGAGTCCTGGGGGTGACCTGGTCCCATGGAGAGGTAGCTGTTCCTGCTTCGCATGTGGAAAGCTGGAAGATAGGGAACAAGGCTGGCCCATGATGAACCTTCTCCCGGAACATGGGCCAGCAGAGCCGGTCTACATGTATGGTGAGGTGCTGAAGACTGGAAGACTGGAAGAGATTGCTGTGGTGCAATCTCTTTGGGGAGCTTTGGGGAGGACATGGGAGACAGGTGAGTCTAGGGCTAAGGCAGTAGTTGGGGCATACCTGAGGGAGATGGTGTTCAGGTAGAAGTTGGGAAGGAGAACAGAGGACTGGCAAAGGCTGTGAGCAACCTGCTCCACCTGGCACTGGTTTGAACAAGGGTTGAACTAGGGGATGTTCGGGGATCCCTTCTGGCTCCAGAGATTCTGCAGTTCCGTCAGTCTGGGGTTGAGCTAGAGGCCAGAGAGGGACTCGAGGGGCAGAGGGATCCATCAGGTTCTAGGGGATGACTTGAGGTGGAGAGGGGCAGATAGGAATGGGGTTCGATGTAGGATTCATGGGGAGGACCTGAACATGGCAAGGTCTGACCCTCCTCAGCTGCAGGAGGGTGTGGTGAGGGGAAATCTGGGGTCAGTGGAAAGGCAGGGGGGTAGCTGGGGTGCTGGCAGTGTGTGTCCGTGGTGGGTCAGCAAGCCCCAGGCTAGCGGGGCTCCCGCGGGAGCTGGGGCTGGGAACACGACGTGAGCCTTGTCCCCAGGGAAAGGTGACCTGGCCCTGGGCTGCSGGTCCCGTGCAGGGCGGGGGGCAGTGGGGGAGGGCAGGGCCATATGCTCCGTCCCAGGGGAGGGGACCGGGGCGTGCTGCTGAATGTGCAGGTCCTGGGTGGCTATTCCTGGCGGCCCCCGCCTGCGCAGGCAGATTGGTTTGCAGGGAGGTGACAAGTGCCAGCCCAAGCCTATAAAACCCTTCCAGCTCCTGTCCTGGCTCAGTGACCTGGTTCTCCCCGCACAGCCAGCCCAGAGCGGAGACCATCAGTCCAGAGCGGAGACYCCAGACCCGGAGTGGAGACGTCTGGTCAGGAGCGGCGACCCCAGCTTCAGAGTCGATATTCCAGGACCAGAGGGGAGATCATTGGTTTGGAGCAGGGACCTCAGCCCAGAGTAGAGGTCTGAGAGCAGAAACACCCCTGGCCCCCCGAGCCTTGCAGCAATGACCGGCAAAACCACGGCCCCGAAGGGACATCCAGCCCCGAAGGGACACCCGGCCCCGAAGGGACACCCAGCCTCAAAGGGACACCCGGCACCAAAGGAAGAACCAGCGCCAGCCCCGCCTGCTGAACACGCATCTGCTGAGCCCCCAGCAGCTGAACACCCAGCAGCTGAACACCCCCCGGCCCCCGAGCACGCCCCTGAGCACCCCTCTGCAGCCCCCGGGGATGAGGCAGCTGCCACCCCAAAGGCAGAAGGGACTCCAGCCCATGAAGAGGGTCCTCCAGCTCCTCCAGCTGAACCCCATCCTCCAGCAGCTGAACCTGAGTCTGAAAAGCCTAAAGCGGGTGAGGAGGGGGATGGAAATAAAGTGAGGGGAGTCTTTGAGGCTGAGAGGGCTTAGGTGGAGGCACTGGGGTAGGGGAGGTGATGGTGGTGTGCAGTGGTGGAGGAGGAGGATCACGGGATGAAGCTGGCAAGGATAGCTGTGGAGTGGGATAGGGTTGGCAGATTAGGCAGGAAGGGGTGATGGGGGTTTGCAGTGGGCTGAAGACCAGTCCAGAGGTGCTGTGGTTGCCCTCTGACAGAGCTAACACTCTGCCTTCGGTTTATTGCAGAACCTCCCAGTCCCCCCTTGTCCTTGGCTGTGGAAGAAGTGAGTGAAAATTCAGTTACACTGACCTGGAAAAGCCCGGAGCACACTGGCAGCTCAGCCCTGGATGGATACGTGGTGGAATTCTGCAAAAATGGAAGTAGGTTTGAGCTTTCCGGCCTCGTAAGCATGAGGAGCTGAGGTGCTACCGTGGAGGGCAGGGAAGAAGCCCAGGATGGAGCTGGGTGTCATCTCACAGTGCATTTCCTGGGCACGATTCCTCTTTCTTTACACAGACAAGCTGAGTCCAAACTGTCATTTCTTTTCTCGAGGACAGCAGCTGTTCTTCAGCTCTGAAGAGCAGGTCACTGCAGGCCCCTTTAGTGTGGGGCTGAACTGTTGGGGTTCATGACCAGTGTGTCCAGCATAGAGTGTGAGGCAAAGACTAACATGCCCAAGGGCGATGCTGTCTGACAGACCTGGGGTTGGGGTGATGATTCAAGGAGAAGGAAGATGCAATTTTCCTGTATTCACTCGAAGAGAAACTCAAAGGCRTGGGGATAAGAATAGGTCCAGCTGCCTAATGAAAGAGCAACTGGCAGGCAGAAATAGCAGGTGAGTCCTGTACTTTTGAGATGAGGGATCAAGCTGTGTGGAAGGAGGAAGACCATGGTCTGCTACAGGATGGAGGTAAGCTGGGAGACGGCAGGAATTATCTGTGGTTCTTCAGTGGCATTTCTTGTTGGAGGAATGTAGGAGGTGAATGAGACCTRATTTTTGGGAGACCCCTCTTGTGAAGTCCAGTTTTAGCTCTGGGGTGAGAGAGACCCACTTTGGGTGGAGGAGGGATCTTAAAGGTGAGGCTACAGCTGGTGGACTGGTGAGGCTGGAACAGTTTGAGAGACGCAAGCATTTGGYAGGTCTGGGGAGCACGAGCCATGACCCATAGCTGTTTGCTTATTTAGCAGGTGCGATCAACACCTGTTTGGCTCTGGGAAGCTTTCACCACGGGGCTGATGGCCTTGGGAGGTGATCACATTTGGACTTGATGTGTAAGGAGGCTGTTGCACGGGAAAAGGAAAGATGCAGCCATTCCTGGAGGGAGCTGGCTGGCAATCACTCAAAGGTCACAATTTTGGATGCTCTCCTAGCTTGCTTTGGGTTTAGCTGGTGATAAGAGATACTAGTCATTCAGTGAGGACCACATGGGCTTTATAAGCTGCTGAGTTTGGGCTGCTGTAAATCTTGCCTTGGTTGGCTAAAATGTGGTGAGGTTTGCCTGAGGGGAGGGTTGGTTTTCTTGGTTTGAGTAATGCAGGTGGGAAGGCACAGAAGAGCTGGTGGGACTTGACTGGTTGCTCTGGTTGCTTGCATGGGTCACATAGTCCTTTGGTGACTATATTGTCCATATTGACTATATTTTTAGCTGAGCAACCTCTTAAAAGGCTCAGCAGGGGCTGCAGGACCTTCTTGGCTCATGTGGGAGACCTCCTGTGTCTTGGCTGTGGGGGCGAGTTTGAGAAACTGCTTCTAAACAAGGGAAGCTGCTTGGGGGCTGATAAGCATGGTGAACCCCAACAAGACTGGGTCAGCAGGAGGAGCAGATTAGCTTATTGGGTGATAAGACGGCCTTGGCAAATTCCAAAAAATGCACTTGGCTAGTCATTGGAGACCATGAAAGTCAGCCTCGTTCTGCAGGCTTGTTGGTCTAATCCTTGCAAATCCTTTATAGATTGGCTGGTGGGAGAGAGAGAACAGCTCTGKTCTTGTTTGCTAGTGAGAACAGGTTTTCTGGCTCTTTGAGCCCTGTTTGTTGGTTTAATCCATTTTTTTTTTTTTAACTTGCAAATTGCATGCTACTTGGAAAGAGTTGATAAATATTGTAATGGAGAAGAGTTCAGCATCTGAGTTTTTGGCACCCTGCAGCCCTTCGCAGGGCTGGGTGGCTGGGCTCCAGGGCGATACCAGGGATCCCATCCAATCCCTGGTGGCCAGCCTTACTTCTAAAGTCCCCTCTCAACTGGTGCATTGCATCTCTCGGTTTTTGCAAAGAAGTATTTTGCTCTTTGCAAAGATGTGTTTCTGGATTTCACATGGTGAAATTCACCCACCTCTACCGTGTGTGTGTGTGACCAAAATGACTATTTTGTACCACTCTGTTTTCGTTCTAGGCACAGACTGGACCGCTGCGAACCAGGAGCCTTTTCTTTCTGTGCGGTACACCATCCACAACCTTGCTGCTGGAGAGAAGCTCCACATCCGTGTGAAGGCGGTGAACGCCAACGGCGCCAGTGTCCCAGCCGCCTTGGAGCAGCCGGTTGTCCTCAGGGAGATCCTCCGTAAGTTGTGCCCCTGCCCTGCACGGTGCAAGTGGCACCACGCAACCYCCACTCATCTCTGCCTGCTTCCAAGAGACCATCCAGCCTTTGACTTCAATGTTATTCTCAATAACAGTCCAAAAACTGTTATTCTCACTAACTCAATAACCAATATTCTCAATAASTCGGGGCAGAGGCAGCCTTGTTTGTTTAGGTGAGGGAAGCTGAGCTGATTGTCTAGAGCACGGGAACTTTATTCATGTCGAACTCGCTAATAAATAACTTGCTCCCGTGCTTGGCAAGGCTCACATTCCTCCTCGGGTGCTGCRAACATGCCGAGGCTGATGTGTGATTATAAGGCTGGCTTTCGTTTATTCAAGGGCAAACATGGACTTCTTTTCCTGTTCTAAGAAATTATTAATGTGAATTGAAGTTTTTCCATTACTCAAAGAAAGCAGCAGATTTCTTAGCAGTTTGAAGATAATAATACTAAAAATTATTCTGGGAACGCTCAGTATTTGATAGAAAAAGAGTTGGTGAAAGCTATTGGTGCTTGGAAAGAGGCTCTGCAGGGTCCAAGCTCAGCCCCTCATCCTATGAGATGAGCCTGGYTAGGCGGGTCGTGTGTCTGCTGCCTTGTTCAAACTCCCACCCTGCCGGGCACGACCGAATTCCTCGGTGATTTGCTGAGATGCCAAAYGCACCGCTCAGGTCTCCCACTTCTAGACCTGTGGAGCCCCCGYTCTAGGATGCTGGAGATTAGTCCCAGTTGTTTGCAAGGGCTGAGATAAAAATCAGGGATCTGAAAGCCTTGCAAAATTTGCTCTTATTCCACGCTGAATTTTCTTTTGTTCTTTGTGTTTTTTGTTTTACTCTTGCTAAGTGAAGCTGTTTCTCAGCAAATGGCACTTGACTGCTTTTGAATTATTTTACATGCACATCCCTGTATGTAATATTGGATTTGGATGTGGAAGAAGACGTCCCTTGGTGCCTCTCTAGCCCRCTGCAGCCACCCCACATACACCCGTCCTGCTCCAGCCCATCTCTAACCTTCTGACACATGAAGAAATGTGTCTCATTCCCCCAGACAGGTCATTTATACTTTTACAAGGAGCAGCAGAAGGGATTTTAATAGCAACAAAGCAGAAGGCAGCAGTTTGGAAACAGATGGTGTGAGAGAAGGCAAGGGGACTGGGTAGAGAGAGCGAGCAAACTGCCACGCGCTCAGCCACAGGAATTGGATTTTTCAGGGAAAAATGGAAAAATGCCTTCCTGCACACGGTGCTGCTTCACTTGGGCCGCTCATCTTGGGCAGCCCTGTGCGGCTAAGCAAGGCACACGTGCGCAGGAACCGGGGAAAATTCTCCTGAATTAACATTCCTCCTCGGAGGCCAGGTTTCCCTGCTTAGCTCCGACGGCTAAGACCAAGTGTCCGCGTCCCTGCGTGGATTCCTGGCGCGGGGCGCACGGAGGAGAGCTCAGCTGTCCCATCTGGGAGCGCCGGGCATCTCGCTGCCCGCGCTGGCCCCGCCTGCGTTCTGCTCTCACAGCTGTTTCGGCATCGCTCACTGCGGGTTTAATTCGGGCTCTCGCCCACCCCCTCCCCATGCCGTCCCTCCCCAGAGCTAAGCTCYGGCACGTTTAATCCAGGCGGAGACRCACAGTTCTTTTATGAGGGGCTCACGTAAACCCGATGCCTCCCCAGCAGGGCTGCTAAGCAGTGCAGAGCCGGTAGGGTTACACCACAGCTATTTTCACCCCAGCAAGGAGAGATGAGCTCCATCAACATTCCCTTTTTTTCTTTTGCTTGTCTTTGTTATGTTCCCTTGGGGACATTAACCCTAGTGTTTCAGACATGGGTTTTTGCAGTTCTGCTCCTAGGTATCCCGCATCTCAGCCTCTTGGCCTCCCTGACAACACGCCTGAGGAGCCTTGTCCTTGATGGAAGTTGGGTTGCATGTCTTAGAGAAACCTGCTTGTTGAGTTGGGAGGAAATATTTTCCAACTGCGAGGTCCTGTCCTCAGGCTCAGGGCCACGAGGGCCGTGCTGTGGCAGTGCTGCTGTGATGCCTCTTCTGGCAAAGCCCATGCAGGGCAGAACAGCCTGGCCATAGCAAAGGGGCGAATGGTCCATCACGGTGGTGCCGTTGGGTTAAGCCAGGGGCTAAGGACAAACGGGGACATAATATGGGGGGCTGACAAAGGGGGTTGGGTTCCAGGGAAAAACTGTCTTGGAGGCAAGAGGGAAGGGGTGGCTGTGCTCCTGTGCTGTGTGTCCAGACGGCCAAGCAGGGGGATGCACGGGGTGGCCTGGCCTGCGTGGGGTCTCCCAGGCCAAGAGAGAACTCGCTGAGCCCACGGCACAAYGTCTGCTCCCCCAGAGCGCCCGCGGATCCGCATGCCCCGTCACCTGCGGCAGACTTACGTCAGGCGCGTCGGAAATGCTGTGAACCTGATGATCCCTTACCAGGTAGGTGGGCAATGGTCCCCCTAGGGACGTGTGGCTGCGTGGGCACAACGCAGGGGAAGGGTGGAGGGGACCATGACTGGATGGGGGCTGCGAGAGCAGAAGGGGTCACTTGCCTGCTGTGTATCCTGTCCTGAGTCTTGCCTCATGGCTGATGTTGGGGCCGGGAGAACCTGTGCAACCTCCCTGTGCTTCAGGAGYGGTGTCTGAAGCTAGCTGTGATCTGGATTCTCCTCAGTTCTCACCTCATGTGAACTGGCGGGTGTCAGCCATGCACGAGCCCCTCTCCTGTTCCTGGCCAGGGCTCAGCTTCGCTCGTGCRGGGTCAACACTGATGATGTTGGCAACTGGAGAACCTCAAAATGACTAAGACATGGGTTAAATATTGCAGCAGTCTCGGCTAATGAGCCCTGCTCAGCTTGGCCTTGCAGGTGCCTGGCCGCATGCTGCTAGGCTCTGCAGCGTGACGCTGGGCTTCCCTCAGGGACRGCAGCTGCTCTTGGAGCAGCTTCTGAATGATGGCGAAGGGGAGGCTGGCGCTGATGGGTCCAATTGGAGTTCACATGCTTGGCTGATTTATTGCACATTCTCTGGAGAAGACCCAAGGTGTTTCCACCACAACATCTGTAGAGCAGGGGAAGGAAGCAAGGGGTGGAAAGTTGCCCCTGTAGGTGAGGGACACGTCTATGCCATTTCTGGATGGCAGCTGGGAGGCATCGCTGGCSGCGCTCCAGGCATGAATCAGCCCTGGGCACTGAATACAAGCCCCTATGCCAGGCTTGAATCTGGGCTCAGAGCCTGGCAATGCGAGCTCAGGTCTATCTGCAAAGCCCTGGGTAGGGCAAGCTGGGCTTGCTCTGGGGCACCTTCATGGACCAGTGCAAGAGCATCAGCTCTGGAGCCTGGCAGCTTCCAACAGTGGGGCTAGCTGCGACCAGCTGTAGTTTCTTCCCTGGGTACGAGGGTTGGGAGATGCTGTACCAGGCCACAACGGTCTGGACAAAGGTGGGTGGCTCTGCTCGCCCTTCCTTCCAGCAGGACGGGATGGGACCATGTTCTCAAGCAGCTCCTAACCTGCCTTTCCCTGCCTGCCTGTTCCAGGGAAAGCCACAACCCCAGGTGACCTGGACCAAGGACGACCAACCCCTAGACACCAAACGCGTCAACATCCGCAATGGGGAGAAGGACACAATCTTTTTCATCCGTGAGGCCCAGCGCAATGACTCTGGCAAATACCAGCTCACCATCCGGGTAAATGGAGCAGAGGACAAAGCCATCCTGGACATCCAAGTGATTGGTAAGATGGGGAATGTGGCCCTGCAAGGTCACTCCTATTTGCTTACGGTGAGATGCCCTCGAGGTCTCATTACTAGGGGCAGCTCCTGTACTAGACGGGAAAAGAGAGAGCCAACAACAAGGTGGGCGACTGTGGGCTTGTTCTTCTAGTGTGTAGAGGACTCTGGTGCTGATTTGTCCTAATTGAGGACGCAGGGTTTCTGTTTGCCCGTGTCCTTGTGCAGAATTCAGCCAGCTTTGTGCATTGCAATAGGACAAGAAGAGAGTAGAGGCAGGACGCAGGGAATGGTCAAAGGGCAGGATTTGGGGGGCTGGAATTAGGATGATACTCATGAGGATTTGCAATTGCAGAGCCGCCAGGTCCCCCCCAGAACCTGAAGCTGGTGGATGTGTGGGGCTTTAATGTGGCCTTGGAGTGGTCCCCCCCAGCAGACAATGGCAACTCCGAGATCAAGGGCTACCTGGTGCAGAAGTCAGACAAGAAGAGCGGGGTGAGTCTGGGCTCTTCAGGGAGCTGAGTGCCCTGATGTGCTCTGCAGAGGGAAGGGAGGAACGGCTGCTGTTGTCTCCCCACCATCACGTTGCTTTGAAGAGTCTGCCTTTCCTTACTGCTCTCCCTTTCCCCCCAGAAATGGTTCACGGTGCTGGAGCGCTGCACTCGCACCAGCTGCACCATCTCTGACCTCATCATAGGGAATACCTACTCCTTCCGCGTGTTTGCCGAGAACGCCTGTGGGATGAGCGAGAAGGCAGCCATCACCTCCAGCCCGGCCCACATCCAAAAGACAAGTGAGGACAGGGCCCTGGTGCTGGGAGGGGTCCTCTCTCCTTTGGGGAAGGCTGGTGCGGTGGCCAGGCTGCTGGGGAGGATCAGGGCATGAACATCCTGGCCCCAAGCCAGTGGACTGGCCCAAGGCAGGAGACCCAAATGGGTTGTGGGGTCCCTGGCACCAGGTTCGCTTCCATAGATGTGCTGCACCACAGCTGGCTTAGAGATGGGCATCCTCGCCTTGCGAGGACCTTGCACTGTCCACACTAGTGCCAATGTGTCATGGTTGCATGAGGAGACTGGATAGACAGGACTGTTGAGAGATGAAGACAAGTTTCTGGAGTCAGGCTAGGTGCTGTTTGGCTTATTCTGTGAGGGAGCAGAAGTACTTTGGGATAGCCTGGGCTGAGTTCTCCTGAGCRTGCACCTGGTTAGCGCAGGAGACCCAGCTAGCTGTTGCCCTCATTTCCTAGAGACCGTTTACCAGCCTCAGAAGATTCGCCAACGAGACATGATGGAGCCTCCAAAGTTCACCCAGCCGCTGACAGACCGAACCACCACCCGGGGCTACAGCACGCACCTCATCTGCTCTGTCCGGGGCTTCCCCCGGGTCAGTGGCTGAATCTCTCCTCCTTGACCATCATCTGTGCATGTGGGTTTTGCTAAGGGCTGGAGGTGCTGGGTGCTGGCTGCTTGTATTGGGTTAGGGTTTAATTTACGTGGTTGCAGCTGCCCTCCAACACAAACCTAGGCAAGTCTGGGAGTGGTTTCACAGTGGAAGTGTGGACCAGGTTCCCTTCTAGCTGTGTCTCTTCCTTCTGCGCTGGGGAAGAAGTGTGGGGCAGTCGTTAGAGCTCAGGGCTGGTAGATTTGGCTKTTCACGTTGCTCCTCAATGCTGATCCTACTGGAGCTATCAGCTTTAGACAGGACCTGGATGAGGTAAGGAATGGCTGTGGGAGGTGGCTGTGTTTTGGGACTGATTTCTAAATGAACAACTCTGCTGCCTTCCAGCCCAAAATCATCTGGATGAAAAATCAGATGGAAATACGGGAAGACCCCAAGTACATAGCAATGATTGAGCAGGGCATCTGCTCCCTGGAAATCCGCAAGGCCAGCCCTTTTGATGGGGGTGTCTACACCTGCAAAGCTGTCAACCCCTTGGGGGAAGCCTCAGTAGACTGCAAACTTGATGTGAAAGGTAAGSTGGACTGGGGAAACTGAGGAACAGGCCCAGGAATCTCCTTTCTTTTCCCATTCTCCCTTTTGCTGTGTTCCTTTTGCAGTGGCATGGTTTGTCTCTGTTTTATATTAAGAATCCAGGCGATGGATGAGTCTCAGGGCATGGGCCAACCTTCGTGCTTCTTGGCTTTATGATCTTGAGCATTCTTTGGTCTTGAAATCCTCTTCTTCTCATTTATGGCCCAAAAGTAGGGACAAAACCAGAACCTGTTAAGTTGAAGGACCAGAAATGCTGGTGGAGGCCATGAGAGTCGCCTGCTCTTCACCAAATCCACCAGGACTCTGCTGTGCCCCATGTCACCTGCACCTCAACCTGCAACATGTGCCCCATGTCGCCTGTGTATGGGAACTGTGCCACGATGACCCCAAAGCCAAAAGCTGCCTGCCCCATGGCCAGGACAGCTGGCTTGTGAGGGACAGTCCCAGCACCCTGCCCAGGATGACCACGTGATTGTCCAGAGCTGGTCAGAGGAGCTGGATGACACAGGAGGCTGGTGTTCTTTGCCTGGTTGGTGCTGGTGYCCCCCACTGTCCTCGCCTGCAGTGCCAGCACAGCTGGAGGACAGCCAAGGAAAGGTCTCAGACTCCCACCACGACCWGCAAGCACCACGTCCATCAGTCATGTGAACATCTCAGTTCATATTCRGTCCATATTTGCAGGTGGATTTTTCTTGCAGCCTCAAACTGTATCCGCCAAATGCGGATTGGGTCACGTCCCTGTCCCCCATGCCTCCTTGAACAGCTACCAGCACCCTGGGCTGATCCTGCTGGGTTGACTCCTCTTTTGTGTCACCTCTGCTTCCCATAGCCTTTCCTAGTGAGAGTCAGGGACGTGTTGATCCCCTGGCTGCAAAACGWCTGTGTTTCCAGAGCAAACTCCACTCTGGGACACCGTGCACCTTCCCTACAGACCTGACACCATGGTAATGGGCTCAAGGATGCCAGAAGGGATTTGTGCCTGGCTTCTCCCGGCTTTCCTCGGTGCAAATTGAGGAAATACAGTGTGCAGACCCCGATCAGGTTCCCTCCTGCAGGCATCCCGCGGCTTTTCCGTGTTTCCCTAATACCAGCTCCTTAAGCTGGATGTTACAGCTGCCATATTAAATGTCCCTAGGCAGAATGGCAAAGAGCCCTTCTTGGCTGGGTGACGGGCCCACTTCACCAAGGACCAGGGTGCCCTGATTTATGTCTTGGGGTCCTGCCCAGGCTTTCCAGCTCACATTTCCCTGCTTCAGCAGAGTGTCGAGGCCAGTCCTGTGCGGAGGTGCCCTGCTTGGTTTACCCCCAGCTCTTCTGGGCCGTGCAGCCCCACCTGAGGACACAAAAGGTTGCATGCCAAGTCCCCAGACTGCACCAATGTGTCTCGAGTCACGGTGTCATTAGACGCGTGCTGGTTTTTCTTACCTCTCCACCCGTGCAGATATGGTCCCAGCACACAGTGGCCCCAAGACACAACCTGCCCTACTTTCCATGCTTGCAGTGGGCGAGATCTGGCTGGCATCCAGCACGCTATGTCCCTGCTGCAGCCGTGGAGCTTTTCAGCAGGTTGTGGGGTGCGCACTGAGCTGTGCACGGCCGGTGTCAGGGCTGCAGCGAGCACCGAGCCGGGYGGCCGTGGCCACGCTGCCCTGCAGGCAGGGCCGTGAGTGCAGCCGCGYGGGCAACGCGGCCAAGGCGGCAAGGAGGCTGAGAGCAGCTTGTTGTTCCCCTGGGGACACGAMGCTCCTGGAGACTGTCCACACTGAAGTTCATGCTTGGGCTTGGGGGTGGTCTTGGAGACAAAGCAGCTGGGAGGAGGCAGCAGTGACGGTGTCTGTGCATGCTCATGGGGGGTGGCGTGTTTAGGAGCACGTTGGTGCGTGCACATGAGCAGATTTGTCGTGTTCTGGCTCACTTTTAGAAGAAAGGGGGTGAGGTGATGGGAGCTCAGGCGTTTATGATCTGCTGTGTTTTCCCACAGTGCCCAAGTGATGATAATTCAGAGAGRGAGATGAAGAGTGAGGTAGGTCCAGGTTGTGGCTGTGGGATGGAGGGAGGGCGGATTAGTCCATCAGGAATGGAGCACTTTGAGCGACCTGGATTTAGCCCTTGTCAACTGTCTTGACTAGCAGTGGGATTGCTGCAGGGTCTGAGGCAAACCTGCCCCTTTCAGGGTGCAGGGAGGGTGGTAAGCGTGGCTGGAGAAGGGGATGCATGTGGACACTGCTGGGCCTGGCAGGCAGCAGGGTGGCAGTGGGGCAGAGCCTGGGCTTTGCAGGCAGGATTTYGAGCTACAGGACTCCAGGACTGATTGCACAGCGGGGCAAGTGTTGGAATTGGGGGCAGGTAAAAAGAGGAGGGGTGGTTCCAGGGGAAAAATGGAGCTGAAGGCTGGCCCTGAACTTTGCAGGGTTTGGAGAGGATCAGGTTTCCAACCTGATCCCAGACCACCAGTCTCCTGGCATACCCGTGGCAGCAGTGACCTTGTCGGGACTCAAGTCTCATTCCTTTCTGCTGCAGGTGGATGCTGCAGCTGACAGCCCAGCCACCGCTCGGTTCTGCAGCACGAGGAGATGCTCCTTGCCATGGCCTCCTTAGCCTGTGGGCCTGTCCCCTCCTTGGCAGCATCCCCAGGTGGCCCGTGTGTCCACCCTGCCACCATGACACAGTCCTCTCTGCACGTGTTGTTAGCTGTGACAATAAATCCATTTGAGGAGATGCTGGTTCTCGTTAAAAATGTTCTGTCCTGTCTGTTGTGGGGCCAAGGTGGGGGGATAGATTGGGGTGGGAGGACACAGCTGCTCTAGGCACATGAGTGGAGGAGCTGGGTTTAAAACTGGAGAAGAAAAGTCTTGCTTTGAGAAACCAAACCAGGCGCAATTCAACCAGGTGGATAAAAGCTTCCTCCTGGAGCTGGCAGGGCATAAAACAAAAATAGCAACGTCAGAAGTGTCTCATGTTGACCCTACCTCATCAAAGCAGAATACCTTCATCCTCGTCCTCCAGGTGAAGGGGGAGCAGCCGTCCAGCAGCTCTTCACTGCCTGGGCACTGTCATCCCYCTCCTCGTGGCAAGAGGCAGCCAGAGCAGGACACGTCGGTTCATTATCGTGAGGTGCAACTGACCCCTTTAGCTCTCAGTAGCTCAGATGGAGAGATGAAGCCTCATCCCTTCCAGCTCTGAGACAATCCAGGTCAGAGGTTTATTAACAGAAGGCCCAGACACATCCATCAGATTGACTAAATGYGCTGTTAACCACGGCTCAGGGCTGCGGTTTAACTCCTCCATCAGCGCAGCCGTCCTTCTCGGGCAGATGGGCCATCACGCAGATGAGAGCAGCAGCTCTCGCGCCCTGAGCCAGCTTTCCATGGAGCTGCATCCTTCATCCTGAGCGAAGAGACTGCCTGCCCTCAGAGAGCACCTCCAGCTGTGTCCCAGTGTTGGCAGCACCTTCCTGGTGCCCGTGGCCAGGGCAAGGGGAAGCCGTGTGTGGTGCCACCCGAGCCCAGCCAGACCCACCAGGCTCAGGGCTCCCGCCGCTCACTCATTGCAGCGCTGCCTGCGCTAGAAACCCTTCCCACCATCAGAGGGCAATGCTGCATTAATTTTTTACGCTGCCTGATGGTTTATTGTGCTGGTTGGGGTCAGCGATGCTGCCACGGCCACAGCGGGCAGGGTGAGACAACCTCCGACATCCTCCTGCACGCTCACGTGCAGCCTCGGCTACTGACAGGGCTAGCCCGGCCCCCTCGACGTCGCCGGCGTCGTGGCTCGTGGCTGTGACCTCGGGGAGCCTCGGGGAGCAGGGCTTTCTTAGCGGGGAGGTCACAGCCCCGAACAGCGTTTCTGASTGTACGGTGTTGCACGGTATGTCCTGTTCAGACGGTCCTTACAGTCTTTAGAAGGTGACAAGTGTGCTTGTGACCCCGGGGGGGCCAGGGAGGAGAGCAGCCTCCACGTAAATGAGCTCTTCCCAGGAAAGGGCCAGAGGGCACAGAGTGGGAAAATCCACTAGATGTTTTTTCTTCTGAAAGCGATAATCCGAACGGCTTTGAATTTGTAAGTGTCTCAGGCTGTATGTTCCTGGGCACCTTAGACAGAGGCGGGCAAGTGTGCACGAAAGCCCGTAGGGCCCCCTGAGCCCGGGGAGAACACGTGAAGCCCGTACGGTCCCCTCGGCCAGGGCGCACGGAGGCCTCGGGAGGCCACACGAACACCCTCATGGCCCCTTTTCCCAGGCCTGGTAGGACACATGAAAGCCCATATGACAACAGGGGGAGGCCAAACGAAAGCCTGTGGGGCTCACGCTGCCGAGGGGGCATGGAGGCCAGAGGAGGCTGCACGAACACCCATAGGGAACCACGCGGTCCAATGTTCACGGAGGTCCAGGGAGGCTGCACGGAAGCCCGTAGGGCCCCTCCCGGCTCAGTGTGCCCAGAGGCCCAAGATGGGTGAACAAAAGCCTGTAGTGTCCCCTTGGCCTGCTGCCCACGGAAGCCCAAGGAGGGCCAACGACAGCCTGTAGGGCCACCCTGGCCCAGCGCGCACACAAGCCTCGCTAGATCGCACAAAGAGCCACCCATAAATCTCACCCACTCAAGCTCCTTTTCCTCTCYGCAGCCACTTCCAGCCCCGGCAGGAACCTGCTGTGGTCACTTGGTCATTCAGTGACGTCCACAGCGCATGACCCTCCCAGGGGAGGGAAAGGGTCATAGGAAGTGTTTTTCCAAGGGGAGGGTAAGGAGTAAGGGATACTGATAAGAAAAGAACTCCAGTTAACTCAAAATTCTTCTGCCARCCACCTGATCAGCCCTGGAATAAATCCTGCCATGGACATTGGCCTGATATTATCCTCTGRGCATCACCAGCTCTGAGCATCACCCAGGGATCACGTCCTCCTTCAGTGCTACCAAAATCTTATTGACTAGAGCACTTCTTGCTCTTGGCATCTTCATTCCCACCAGGATGTCCCTCTCCCCTTGGTATTCAACTACTTCTATGAGCCTGGGGATGAGGTATCCCTCAGAGACCGGAGATTCCTATAGACTTACTGAAAACCATGATCTAAAGGACCACATCAACAGCAAAGGATCTTCTGGGTGTTTTTTACCATTTTACTTTATTTGCATTTCGATAAGTCATGCCTTTGTCTGTACAATTTCTTCTTAAATATTTGGCAACCTTTAAAAAAAATGAAAAATCAACAGCAAAAAAAAGTAAAGAACAGTGCAAGCTACAATATCAAAACAATATGATGCTTGTGAATAAATAACTTCCTGGAGTAGCTTGGGGATTTGGCTGTTCAGATTGCAGGGGGCTGGCAGACCCGCCTGTCTGCAGTCCTTGTCCTTTCCCCTGATGGCAGGAACAACGGGAAGGTGGGAACCTGGGCATGGAGAACCTTGTCTCTGCTCTTGCCCAGCTCTAGTTGCCTGGTTCGGCGGAGGTGCTGTTGGCGTTTTTGTTGGTTTTGCAGCAGAAGTACTGGTTCCAGATTTGCAGGAAGGCTGTCCGGAACTTTTTGATCCTGAAGGCGTAGACGATGGGGTTCATGGCTGAGTTGCCATGGGTGAGGAAGATGGCGATGTACGTGAGGATGTGAGGTGTCTCACAGGACGGGCAGAACAAGGTGATGCAGTTGAGGATGTGCAGGGGAAGCCAGCTCAGTGCAAAGAGGAACAGGACCAGCGCTAAGGACTTGGCGATCTTCAGCTCCTTCCCATAGTACTTCTGAGGATCAGTAGAGCTGGAGGAGACCTTCTTGTTGAGCTGCTTGCGGATGAGGTTGAAGACTTCCAGGTAGATGAGCAGCATCAGCAGCAGGGGAGGCAGGACCCAGACAAAGAAGTTGAAGTACACCATGTATTCCATGCTGATGACAGTCTCAAACTGACACTTGATGACAAAGCCTGTGTGGCTGGCATTCAGCTGCTGAGTCCTCCGCATCTTGTTGAGGTTGTTCCAGCCAAACATAGGGGTAAGTCCCACCAGAAAGGAGACAATCCAGCAGCAAGCAATGGCCACCGCTGCACGCCGGGGTGTCACCACGCTTTTATATCTGTGGAAGAGATAGTGACCGCAGGGAGGGGTTAAACAAACAGGATCCTTTGCCCAGGTTGAAGACATCTCCCCTTGGTGTGCCAGGGACCATGCTGAGATAGCACCATGCTTTTCCCTCCTACCTTGGAGATTTTTGCCACTCATCTGGATAGACATGTTAACATCCTGGTTTCTCTGCAGGTGCCCTGGCGATCCCCCAGCCTGTCTCCCACTAGCAGACACTTCAGGGCTTATGCTGGAGCTCTTGGGCTTGGTTCAAAGCCAGCAAACAAGTTAGCCTGCATCAGAGTTGGGGGAGTCTATGTTTAAAAAAGCATGATCCAAAGCGACCTAAATACCTAGAGGGGCTGCAGGTCACTTTGGCAACCCGTATTGCRTATGAGTACCCCACACAGCAGCGGCTGAACTTCTCCTTCCTCTCCCCGTATGCCATCCCTCTGTACTGGTCCTGCTGGGATGCTGCCCCAGGTCATCCCCCCYGTGCCGGCGGAGGAAATCAATAGCAAAAGCTTCCTCTAGGACCTGCTGGGCTGGAGGAAGGATCCATCAGGGCTAATGGACCCCTGGGGAAGCTTCTGGGCAGTCTGTTTCATTTCCTAATGTGCTGGGCTGATCAACAAAACCCTCTTTCCTGATGGGACAGCGCCAAGGGATGGAGGGAAGAGGAGAACTGTGCACTGACTTGGCTCTGCCCCCTGGCCAGTCCCACCTGGGAGCTAAGTGGGGCTGCACCCGTCTCTCCAGAGCTTTCCAAGCGGGAAGTGAAGCCTGCTAGATTGATTTTTCCCTTGGCCCTCAGATGAAAGCTTCTCCTTGGAGGCTGAGAAGATTCACAGCCTCAGTGTTATTGCTTTCTGCCAGAGGGGATTGAACAAAGAGCATTTGCTGGATTTTTGAGCAAACATGGTGTTAACCTGACCGTGGGGATTGTACAGTGATGCTGGAAAAGCTGGATCCCTCTCTTGGTCCTCGCAGCTCCTCACTGCATGCGTGCAGGCCTAAACTGTGGTATAAAGATGAAGCAACCTTTTACTGCACCAGCCCTGCAGATGAGACCCCACATCCTTCTTCTCCCCTTGAAGGTTCCCTCTTAAGTTTGAGCTCACAGGCAAATTGCTGAGGTGAGAACACAGAGGGGCACAGAATGGAGCAGGAACATTGACCCCTAGGAGTCTGGAGGGTTTGGGTCTCCCAGTCCTTCATGATTTTCCCAAGTGAAGCTGCTCTGGGAAACAATTTCCAGCATCCCAGAGGCAGCCCCAGGTCCCATGGGAAAGATCTGGCATTGCGGGCTGCTGTTTCCTCTGCAAGCCAAAGCTGGAGGTAGAGGGTGATTTATTCCCTGCGGGAAGGAGAAAGGGCAGGAGACCCTGAGAAAGGCRTAGGACCAGGAGAGCGCGAGCATGGGAAGACTGAGGGGTGGCGGACATAGTGGTAAAGCAGACCGAGCAAAGAGGGGTCCCGCCGGACCACTGGCACCAGAGGGGTGCAGAAGATCCTTGTGGGGCTGTGCGCTGACCTGTGCATCCCGTGTCCCTGGTAATGGAGGAGAAAAGGCTTCAGGAGGGCTTCTCTCCCCTTCCATTAGTAACCCTGCATCACTCTTCTAGGCTCAGGCAGCCAGGGGGAAACTAAAGACACCAGGATCAACCCTATCCCTCGCTCCTTCTCTTTGCAAGCCTTCCTCATGTGCCTGCAAGCCAAGGCTGTGTCTCTGCACAGGATCCCTCAGTTCGCAGAGGTCTCATTTTGCTGAACGCACCTCTACCCCAGGGGCTCACCTGGTGCTGCAGARGTCACTGGAGAGACAAGGATGCTGGTCAGGATGACCCGTGTGCTCCCTGAACTCCTTCCAGGGCTTTGCTGCCAGCCCCATGGGCAGAGTCCTGTTCATCCCTGCTCCTCATCCTTGGAAGCCCAGCACTGCAGCAGGGAGCACAGGGGATGGAGAGACCAACCCTAGCGACCCTGGCCCCCTGCAGCTCCAGAACATCATGTGTTGCTGCAGATGGTTATCAGATCAGCTGTGGAGGTCGTGCAGACCTCAGGTCCCAGGGCGCATGTGAGCCAGTACGGTCTGGAAGCTGTAGCACACACATGGCAGACCAGCCATCCCACACACCGCTGGCTGCACTTCATCTCCCCACTTCACCGTCCATCCGCCTGTCCTCCTTGCTGTGTATCCATCTCCTGCAATGCTGCACATCCATCCTCTACCCCAGTGAACATCCATCCTCTCTCCTCTCCTTGCAACTCGTCCTTCCCCTACCACACTGCACATCCATCCTCTATCCCAGTTAGCGTCCATCCTCTCCCAAGGCCATTGYGTTT